ATGTGGACGATATGACAAGTTAGGAGAAAAGCAAATTTTTATTTTTTAATTTAAAAACTATAGCCAATAAACTAAAATACGACTACAACCTATACACATTACGAGTAAATATCCTCACGCGCCGAAGCCTGGCGAGCAACTGAAGTAGTGTGGACGAAGATTTACGAGCACAAGTAAAAGCCAGACCAGTCTCCGACGAGCACGAGTAACGTGGACGCGCCTTAACATACATACATCCATCCACACACACACACACACATTTGGGTGTATGGATCAACTGGTCAAAGCTCCGGCTAGCTTATGTGGTTACGTATCCCGACTGATGCTACACCTGGTTTCCTCCGCCGTTTCGTTAGTATCTTAGTTTGTTTAAGGGCGATACTTCACAGCCCCGAATTTGAATGCAAGGCTTAGGAAAACCAAGAAATCAGAATAACAGACCTACAGACTGGCAGTAATACAAAGCAGTAATCCTAACCATTCGACCTCTTTCAGTGCTGTCACACATACGCCACACCTGCTTCGTAGTAACTCGTCTGATTCTGAACCATTCAGATCAACTGTTGTACCACTCACTAGCAACCTGCATGGAGCAGAGTTCTTGAAAAGCCGACAGTTGCTCATCTAGCCAATATCGCTTATATGGTGTTCACAAGAGACAGCTATTATATCCTACCCAGGGCCCAGTGAATCCAGCATCCATCCTCACGGGGAGCCCAGAAGGCACAGTCGGTATGGCAACGGGATACAAGGCCGGGTTTCGATTCCTGGCAGGGGTAAGAGAGTTCTCTCTTCTCCACAGCGTCCAGGCCGGCTCTGGGGCTCACCCAGCTTCCTATCCAATGGGTATCGGGAGACTCTTTCCACGGAGGCAAAGCGGGCGGAGTGTCAAGGTGACGATTCATCTCTCCATCTAGTGCCGAGGTTACGAATGTGGAGCCATACCTCCACTCCCTAAATCTGTTCCACTGATGTCTTCATGAATAACCCAAAGAAGCGTGGAATGGTACATTCTGATGAAGTCTACACACATTTTCCAGATGTGTTATTTAAGATTAGGTCTTCATGCTCATTTACTGCAGATGAAATTTACTGTCTTGAAGCGGCATTACGCGCCGTCCTCTATCCTCTTAGGAAGATCGCTGGTACTCATTTCTGTTAGAGGCTGAGTCCACCACAGGGCAAGGGTGCGGCTGGAACGATTAGGTCAGTTGGAAAATCCAACAACCTATTGGGGAATCGAACCCGCGACCTTCGGGCTTGTACCATAGTGCCTCAATCAACTACGCTACAGCGTACATACTTAATTTAACATACCCTATAACGTAACAGTGTAGTTTCCTAGACTGGAACTGAATTGTGTGGTAAAGAGTTAAAACTAAAACACTTCTGCTTAAGAATCAACTACACTATACATTAAATAAGACTTCAAACCCAACAGAGTAAGAGGCTGACCGGTACATAACTGTCCGATGGTGTGTGCTTCGTTCGCTTGACTGTAGGACACGAGCATTTACTTTAAAAGCTGACATTAACTGTGCCAGTGAAAGGACTCCTATTATTAAGAAAATCAAAGTCTCATTATTAAGATCACAGACGCTCGAGCCTTTCCTGGCCCATCTTCATGCCCTATTTAACGTCGAGTTTGACGATTTCATACCTACAGCTACGTACACACACAAAACGTCACGAAAGAGTAGGGCCACTGATGTCAAAATAATTTATGCATACATGCTTACAACTGTAAAATCATACATACAACATCCTGGGTAAAATGGATGCCATATTTTTGCTCCAGAAACGACAAATGGAATCAAAATTTCTTGTCAGGTTAGGACAAGGGTGTGATGATTGGTTGCTCCAAACTTATCATAATTCATAAATGATTAAAGTGGTCACCAGAGTGTAGAGTTGCTTCCAATTTACGTGTTGTGCTGTGAGCTCCCACAGTACGCCACGCCACCCACCCACCGCGTCAATGTGACTACTAAACACTACTCAGTATGACGCAAAGAAAGCAATGACTCATGCATGCAGCACTTTCATTAAGCTACGGAAACTTGAGGACATTCTAAACCCTGCTTCCTCAACCTCCTGTCTTCAGCATCAACTTAACACCGATACAGACACTTCAGATGCGAGAGACATGCAGTAGATGTACTCTCTTCCACAAAAACTAACCGAATGCAGGATTGCTACGATAGTGACAAGCCATCACACATAACGGCACATTTCTAATAGCAATATTTACTGCTCCAACAAGCGGAAAGGGATGGGCACACGATGCTGAAACAGAAAGATTACGCTGTGAAGTGAAAACGATGCGCTACTGCAGTGGAGGATCCTTATTCAATGAATATAACGACAAGTGATCGCAACTCAACAGCTCAGACTGGTACTTTGTACGCCTGATGATGACCCGTAAAAGGGTCGAAACATGTCGCGTCTTTAATAAACATAATAAAAACAAATGTTGATGCAGTAGTGTGTCTTCTTTGTTTTGAATACAGATTGTTGTTGTGCAGACGGTACATTCTATACTTCATATATCTTACTACAATGAAACTCGGTCTCACACATTAAGGGAGGAACACAGACGGGACATGTCTGAAAACAGGGTGCTCAGGAAAATATCTGGAATCAACAGTGGTGAAATAACTGGATGAGGAAAACTGCATAATGAAGAGCTTTTCATAACGTACTCCTCGCCAAATATCAGAACGTTCACGTCAAGGAGGATTGGATGGGCAAGGAATGTAGCATGCATGGAAAAGATGATTTCACAAGTTTTCGTTGGAAAACCTGGAGGAAAGAGAAAACTAGAAATATATAGACGTAGATGTGTGATAACATTAAAATGGATCTTAGAGAAACGGGGTGTGGGGGTGGTCAGATTCTTGTGGTTCAGGGCAGAGACTGGTGTTTGGCTCTTGAGAACATGGTAATGAACCTTCAGGTATCATACAATTCTAGAATTTTGTGGCTGTACAGCTGTTGGCTCAAGGACTTAGCACCATGGTGTTCATCAGCATTCAGCACATCCACCACAGACTATTGTACAGTGAAACCTGTGCATGTTGGCCACTCTGGGTTTCATGCAAATGTGGCCATCTTAAGTGGATGATGGACTCACACAACAGACAGCCAAAAGTCCCAGTGTTGTCACAATAGTGATTACATACAACATATGGGCCTAATAGAAGCTTTGATACTGGCCTTCTAACCACAACACACACTGCTCCGTGTTCCTGGAAACATTTCAGAATCTCTTGTCTGCAAATTTTGTTACCTTTCACCGTGCCCAAGACTTCAGAATCATGTCCCTGTTCTTGTCGCAGTTTCCACCTACTAACATTGCCACACCAAAATGCTGAGCAATGGTTTCCTAGCTAATGCCACTTACTGCCTATCAAGTCCAAAGCTTCTCCTTTATGCTCAGTTCATAGAACATATCTCATTTCCATTTCATCACATAATTTTATTAAGTAACATATTTCAATCAGAGCCAGGATAGCCTAGTCGGTTAGCGACTGGCTACAAGCTGGACAACCGAGGGGTCGGAGTCCGAGTCCCAGTCGGGACAAGAATTTTCACTTCTCCATGTCATCCGGCTCTGGGGTCCACCCAGGAGGTGAGGCTAACCACTCACCTCCAACTAGTGCCGAGGTCAAGAAAATGTGGATCTATACATTCACTCCCCCGTACATCTTCATGTGCAGTGCTTAATTACTTCAGCATAGGGACAACTTTACCTTTTATTACCTTATCTTTAATGTATTTAAATTATCCCTGCAAGGCACTGTGTGTAGATTTTTTGAGTATGTGACATGATATGGTCACAGACAGCAGTCTAAGAACTGCTCACTGCAAAACAGGGAATACCACATAATCAGCAGCATAAGCTGCACCTGCTATGCAGAATTCCATTGCCACAAAGAAGAGAAACAGAGTTAATCAGATACACAGAAGGGAGGAAATATGTCACTCTTCTATGTGGCCACATATCCAGAACCACAGCATGAAATGCAAGAAGATGGAGAAAATACAAGACTGGTGACCAAGGCAGTGAGAGTTGGTCATACATACATTAATACTATTTTGCCAGATCCATACAAATGCAGATAAGTATGACACGGGCTTCTCTGTACTGTTACTACTACAATATTTAAACATTACAACGGCTTCTTGATTACAGTCCTACAGTGTTTCATTATAATCGAGTTCCTATTTACACACTGTCAGAATTAAAGCTTAGAACAGTATGTAGACGTTTCATCACAAAACATATGCTACTAAAACATGTGAAAAGAAACGATTCGTTGAATGCGCTCATATAAGTATGATTTAATCGACTAGAATTATTTATGGGAAACAGGCACCATATTCTTTTGCCTCCAATCGTTCTTGCTTATAAGTCTATACATATAATTAAGAAGTACCAGTACATGCTTCAAGTGCCCGGTTCCCTGTGTGCCAATGATCACAGAAAATACAACAGTTCTAATTTTTCACACTTTTCAGATCCTACTCAATTATTCAGTTATATCCTACTGACATACACATCTCTACACTTTCACCTACTTGCGACAGCAATAAATTATATACTAAGTGATTTCGAAAATGCGTAAATTATAAAAGTTTAACAGGGATAAAATTGGTATCTTGTAAATTTTACTGAAGAATGATTTCTAATTTTCATCAGAAAATTCGAACTGCCGCACCGCCAATTTTGTTTTCCACGACAAAAATTATCACGGCTTGTAAATCAGATGGGTTTCATAATTATGGGTTCCAATTGAACTTCCTGTCATTTACCAGTATACGCCAATTCTAAATTATGTGAATTAATAAGTCATCCCTGGATTGATTATTTCTGACGCCTTTGGACGTTAAGGTTCACCGACAATGTCAATGAACGTCAGTGACACTCAAAAGCCGGGAGCTTGCTCGGTGAAAACTATGGGACAATAATATACGATATGTTGAAAGTATCACAGTACCTTGGAATACAATTCGGTGGTGTCCTGTCAACTTCCCAAGTAGCAAACAGCTTCATAGGGACGGGTTTCAACCCGACGATCGGTGGAGGCTTTCCAGCCTTCTCCGCCATGTTTACACAGACTAAACAGAATAGTTGCACTTGCTCCTCTCAGAGGGCGCAACCAAGCCACGCTTGCAAATTAACTAAAATACTGGCGCATATTGCCATCTGTTGGGCACAGTGTGCAGAACTTTTGACAGCTGACGTATGGCAATGGGCAAGCACTGTTCATGTGACAAATGGAACTTCTGCAAACATATGCCAATTCTGATTATTCAGATTGATTTATAATATACACCAGTAATGTAACAGATTTTACTAAATTCATATAAAAAATGTCAACCGGTGGAAAACTGAACACAAGAGGTTATAATAAACAGAACTCCACACCAGTTGATGGAAAAGAAAAGTTTTTAGAAAGGAAAATTAAAATTAATGACTTTAAAAGAACCCTGAATGAAACTCACATAAGCTGACTAGAATGTGTTGCAAAAGGATTTATTCAGTTGGTTGACCTGTTACACACAAAAATACCTCCCATTTAAATGGGAATTTTTGCATGCATATTAGTCCCTTTGGATCTGTGAAACAATGCTAAATATAAAGAAAGCAGTCTTCTGGGATATGGCGCCGTGTAGATATTGTGTTAACCAACGTTTCGGAGGAACGTATCGCCTCCATCTTCAGGGTGAAAGAAAAAAGATGATTATCTGCAAGTGAAGAACCAGCATGAGCAGGGGCACATAGACTAATGTCAAGAACAAACCCAGCTATATGACAGCAGGAAGAGAAGGGAGAAAGGCTACATGGGAAATCAGTAGTGAGGAGAGTGGAAGGGTCTGGGGAGGTGGTCCAGCAGGTTAGAGCAGGTATAGAATATTGTGTCTGGGGAGAAAGGCAAGGTTAATGGTGTTGATTTTCTTTGTGTCATGCTTACATATAACTTAACAGCCATACTGGATGAGAAGAAACTTTTTATTATAATACAAAACAAAAACAAATGAATATAGATCACTATTACCAACTTGAACATTTTTACATTACTAGATTCTCAACATTCCTCCTTAATTTCAAAATGTTATCAACATTATTAGCTCTTTTACAAAGTTAAATTGAATAACACTTAGTAATTTTGGTCTTCATATTACAAATTAGTACATGTAATTAAAATTTTCTCAGTCTTATCAAAATCAGACTTATTTCTTCTTAAGTATACTGTCTCTAAACTTGGTAAATTTCTCTGGTGATAACAGTTTTGTTAACATGTCTGCCAGCTGAGTTTCAGTGTCACAATATTTTCAACTGTTCACTTATGTAGTGATACCTAACGTCTGTGTGCTTACTCCTACGCGTTACTTGTCCAGATTCTATTAGCTTGATTGCACTCTGATTGTCGACACACAGTTCAGCTTCCACCCTTTTTCCTGTCAACTCCTCTATCAACGTCTTTAGATATTTCAATTCTTTACAGCACTCAGCTGCTGAAATATATTCGGCCTCAGTGGTTGATAATGCAACAATACTCTGTTTCCTAGAGCACCATGATATTGGGCCCCCTGACATCATAATTACATATCCCGTTACACTCTTCCTATCCTTTACATCCCCTGCATAATCAGCATCACTAAATGCTTCCAGTTTCACAGTTTCGGAGTCAGATGAGGTATATTTTATTCCTGAATCTCGTGTACCTTTCACATACCTAAGGGTCCTTTTCGCATTCTGAACAGCTACTTTGTCAGGATTTTCCAAGGTTCGACTTTCCACATTTACAGCAAATGCCATATCGGGTCTGGTTTTAGAAGACATATATAGCAGGCTTCCTACAGCTTCTGTGTAAAGAAATCTTATGTCATTTTCTCCTTCGTCATTTGTTGGTGGGGTTGTGGCCATGGGTGTTTTCATTTCTTGACTTTCTTGCATGTTGTATTTTTCCAACATTTGTCTTGCATAGTTGGTTTGAGAGATATGTATCCCATCTGGTTGCCTCTCACTTTGTATTCTTAAATAAACTTTTGGATTTGTGGTTTTTGTTATCTGGAATTGATTTTCTAGTTTCAGCAACATTTCCTCTATTTGTCTTTCATCCTCTCCCATGATTATCCTGTCATCCACATGAATGGCCATGAACAAAGTATTGGCATCATTCTTAAAAAATGCATTGGTCAGATTTTAGTTGGTTTAGACCTTCTCCTTTTAGGAAGGTTGTCAACTTCTTGTTCCATTGCAATGGTGCTTATCTTAGGCCATATAATGTCTTTTTCAGGAGACATATCTTGCCAGTGTTCTTGTATCCTTCTGGTATCTCCATGTAGTTTTTCTCCTCAAGATCTCCATACAGGAAGGCAGTCTTCACATCAAAGGTTTGCATGTTCATTTCTTATGTGCTGCTATGGCAAACAGTACTCTAAGAGAATTCATGTCAACAACTGGGCTAAAGGTATCCTTGAAATCTATTTCCCCTTCCTTTTGTTGGCATCCTCTCACAACCAGTCTGTCTTTGTGTCTCCCATCATCCTTTATTTTGAAAACCCATTTACTGGTCAGAATTTTCTTGCCTATTGCTTTCTCTCTGTTTACATATATCCAAGTTTTGTTTTGGTAGAGCGAATCCTTTTCCTCTTTAATGGCTTTCTTCCACTTTTCGCTGTTTTCGCTCCCCATGCACCCACCATATGTACAGGTGAGCATACCCTCCTTTTGACTCTCTGTGTGACAGTCTCGGTACTTTGGGTGCATTTGAATGTTTCTTCTTGGTCTCAATGCATATCCACGTTCGTTTTGTCCATTGTTTTTCCTTCCATTAGCCTTGTGGTCAGCATTTTCATTTTCTTCATCCTCTTCAATATCTGTTGGTTCTTCTTCATTGTTGTCAGCTTCGGGTTCTTGCTGCATTTCGCTGTCTTCCTGATCTGGAGTATTTGGCTTGTCTTCTGGATCCGTCACT